GTGCCCTGGGCGCGGAGCCCCTGGGCCCGAGAGGTACCTTTGTCTCCCGTGGGGCCCACTCTTCCCGGCCGTCCTGGTGCGCCTTTGTCTCCCTTCTGTCCAGTGTCCCCTGCGGAAGAAGTCGCAGGCACTCAGGACCTGTCGGAGCACAGGGCCCGTGTGCAGTGCGGGGGGGCAGCAGTTGGGAGTGTCCGCCTCCCCCCTGCCCCCCGCTGCTGTGCGGCCACCCCGGCCTCCGTCCCCCCACCCCGCCCCGGATGGCACCCTCCTTCCGCGTCTCCCGCCCGCCTCTGTCACGGGGCTGTCCGGTCTCCCCGCCCCAGTCTGAGGGACTTTTCCCAGCGGGACACGAAAGGCTTGCTGGCTTTGCAGTCCTCAAGCTGGGGGTGGAGGACAACCCCACGGGGCCTGACCCCCGAGGACGCGCGCTGCGGTTTCACAGCCGCGACGTCCCAGCGCTGGGGAAGGCCCAGGAGAACTCGGTGAGCCGCCGCCCGCAGAGCCCCACGCAGCCCAGCGGAGTGGGGGGAGGGGGCGACACCTGCACGGGCGAGGTGCGGAGGGACGGGGCGCGGGTGAGCGAGGCCGTCGGGTGGGGCAGCACAGCACCCACGCCTCACGCTGCAGGACCACGGAAAGCCACCGGCACGCTTCACGCAGGGAGCACACGGTCCAGCCCCGCGTGCCCGGACCACGGCGTGTGCTACTGCTACGGTCCAGGCCAGGGGCCCACGTCACAGCAGCCTCCCCGCTGCACTGAAGGCCCTTGAAGGCAGGGTTCCCTCCGGCCCAGCTCCGGCTCCCCCCGAGCGCCGGCCAGGCCCTGACCGCACGGGCTCAGCAGCCCTTGGCCGAGGCCAATGCCCTGCAAACCCGCCAGCTCTTCTGTCGGTGGGGTAATCGCTGGAATCGGCACACGGGGTTCACCTATTCCCATAACGCAGGCTCGCCCGCCTCTGAGGCAGGGGCAGGGTCCACATGGCAGAGGCAGAGGCAGGCGTGGACGGGCCACAGCTCCCAGGACGGGACGCCTGCGCGGAGAACGGCTAAGGGGCCAGGCCGGTGGGCCCCAGCACCCCTGGCCAGGCCCCACCTCGTAGGGGACAGATCAGCGAGGACGCAGCGGGCCACGGCTGCCGCCCCAGCGCCACCGGCCTCTGCTGGCCATCCCTGAGCTGAGGGACTGTTCCTGGTGACGGTCCAGGCCAGAGAAGACCGGAACCGCACCCACGTCGGTGTCCCGAGCCGGAAAAACACGTCATCGGAAGCAGGGAGGCTGTCCAAAGCTTCCTCCGTCCCTCAGCTGGCCAGCCGGTCCAGCGAACGGCTCCCCAGGCTTTCTGCCAAGGCCACAGCCACCGTGCAGGCCACGTGCTCCCAGCGTGGACAGGTGCCCGGGCCCCTCCTGCTGCTCCTGCACTGGGCGTCTGCCTCCCGGCCACTCGCCCCATCGACACTCCAGCCTCAGACCCTCTTCCACGCCAGCCGGACGAACCGCACCGTGCTGGCTGCTGTCGCTAGGAGCGCCACCGCCCCACCGTCCCCAGCCTCGTCCCTGGGGACAAGCCTGGCTGCGCTTCCTGAGAAGAAAGGCTGTTCCAGCTCTGGCCACACACGGCAGCGTGTGAAACTGCCACCGGTCAGCACGGCACGGAGGCCTGGCCCGGCTGCCACAGCTCCAGCGGACGTCTCCATGAACC